GAACTAATCCATACCCTAAAACAGATTGGGATATCAAGAGCCATATGATGCTATGGATCTGGAAGAGCCATATAGAGGATTTATGAGCCACCATATAAGGGCAAAACCATATTCTAAAAGACATAAATATACGCAAGGAAACAACCTAACCTTTTCTCCCCCAGCACTAAAAAAAACTTAGTTACAGCCCAACAGAGCGAGTATCCAAAAACCAACTTTGAGATGAGCCAACTCTAGAGATTAAAAGCATGGAAAAAACAATTGGATGCTTAAGCCTTACCTTGATAGTGTCATAGTGGTTCCACCCAACCTCAGAGGAAAGGTGACCCAGCAGGCAGTATTTGTGGCCAGCTTGAAGCCTCAGGACCCTAATTTGGTTGACATAAAAAGGAAAAAAAACAGCAAGAATTTTAAATTAGGAGTTAGAAAAAACAAATAAAATGGAGAAGGACATGATTAAATTTTTTTTTAAAAAAAGGACGAACTTGAGAGCGTCTGGGATGACCATCCTCTTTATCTTGTCATATGGAGGAGGGACACCTTCAAACACCTTCAAGCGGGCAAGAGCAGCAGCTCCTCGCTTGGTCTTGTGGGGAATCATGCTGCGATCCAGAAAGTACAAACACCTCTATAAGATTAATCCAAACCCCAAAAAATTTTACCGATTAAATTCCAGTCAGAATTCATTCCATCACAGATTGTATGCAAATATCCAGCCATCTGGACCTGCCAATTTGACATGATTACCCGAGCAGCTACGCAACGAAATATAGTGTTCAAGACTCCGAAATAGAACGAACAATCTAAACTCTTGACGAAGCAGTAATCAAGTGATGTCCTAAAGCTCACAGAAATACAGAGTCCCCTAAAATGCACAATACAAGAAGGCGAAGAACACTCAAGATTGCTACTAACAACCATTTAATTACACTAGAAAAACGACACTCGAACGGAAGCAGATGAACGAAAACACACATATCACAGCAACACATCCAACATGCGAGAGAGAGAGAGAGATCGATGAACGAACCCACGGACAGTTCGCCAGAAGATCTTGGACGGAGCACGGAAGTGGATCGGACCGTGCGAGGGCTTTGTGTTCATGCGCTTGCGGAGGAAACGCATGTATTTCATCTTCTGTCGGACAAGTCCGCCGGAGAGACAGATCTCTTCGCACCGAACGACCACAACCTTCTGGCCATTGAGGAGCTCCTTAGCCACGATCGAAGCCAAGCGTCCGAGCATGTGATGACGCGCGTCGACCACAACGCGCTTCGCGCATATCCCTGAACCAGACACCATTTCTGCTCGTCCTGTTTTGGCGGCGACTAATTCCCTCTTCTCCGGCACAAAGGTTGAAACGATAGTGTATATATTTGAGGAAAGCTTTCAAATTAGGGTTTTTAGGGCATTTCTGTCAAGCGAAAGTTTGCCACGTCATAGACCAATATTTGGGCTTATGATGGGCTTCGATGGCCCAATGTCAGAAGGCCCGTTATTGATCCGAAAATATATTTTATATAAACTATTGTAAACTTTTATTTATACCAATTACATGAACTTAATTTTAATATATAAATAAATCATTATATTGAATTATGGATTGATATCTGATGATTCATGCTTTTTAAAATTTTATTTTTAAAATTCACAATATTAAACGAAAACAATGTTACATATGTAATAACACATCAGCAACCATAATAATACCTAACTATTTTTATTTGATTAAAAATTAAATATTTATTTTAAAATATATGTAAAAAAACAATGCGTTGATATATTGGTCGTATAAAATAATTTCAAAACTTGTGGTTCCGAAGAAAAAAATCTTTGGCATATATCATTATGTCAACTATATATGATGTGACATAAATAATAGATTATATTTCCTTTTAGTCTCTCGAATTTTCAACGAAAGGTTTTGGAATTAAATAATATAATCTTGTTCGGATTTTTTGCAATTTTAAATATTAAAAAATACATTTACCAATGAAGAAAAACAAAAGAATGATAATAATATATAGTATTAATTATTTCTACTGTGCTCTAAGAAATTAAAAGGAGTCTTGAAATTTCTCGGAAGCAAAAGCGTTGAATTTCATTTATTTATTGTTTCGTCCGCCGGAGAGATGGGAGGAGACGACAAAGTGTTCACCTTGGCGGAGGTTTCGGAACACAGCACCAAACACGACTGTTGGCTCGTCATCGACGGCAAGGTCCGAATCTCTCTCTCTCTCTCCGCTCCTCTTTTGTTTCGTAAGCTCGATCGAAATCCGATTCCCCTTTTCCTCGTGATTGTTGTTGTTCGATCTGGGTTTCTGCAACTGTCTCATCGTGAGCATGTCAGCGTTTGGTTTCGTCGAGTGGCTCCTTTGTCGGATCTGTTATTCGGCTGATTTGCATGTCTCGCCTCTGATTCCGGCTTTCTCTGCATCATCTTCTTCCTCGGTTTCCATGTTCGGTTTAGAAACCTGTAGTTTTGAATGCTTTAGATTTACGATCTGTGATTTCTATGGCACTGTCAGATTGTTTGGGCTGCCCCAAATTCCGGGTTCTACGGTGGAGATTTGTGTTTGTTCGCTAAGCCTCATCAAATTCGAAATGGATCCGTTTTGTAAATCTAGTTCATGCTTGACTTTCAACGTGATCGGATTCACCAAAAGAATCTACTCGATTCCTTTCTGTGCATCAGGACCAAGCAACTTAAACATGTTTTTTGCCCTTGCTTCCGCTACATACCTTCGGACAGCACCTTATAATTTGTCTGTTCATCGATGAGGATTGAGGGGAGATCATGCCACATCTACGCTTTTGTCATGATTGGATCTACGGAATTGGCTAACTACCATTCTACCTGCAGCTGTATTTGTATTATGAATAATTATATGTAATGGAGCATTGTGTCTGTGATGGATGGAACAGGTCTATGATGTGACAAAGTTCTTGGATGACCATCCCGGTGGCGACGAGGTCCTGTTGTCTGCCACAGGTAAGATGATGATCACAAGTTTTGAACTTTTGCTACTCTTGCAGTGCCTTGTAATGAAATCACTAACCTTTTTCTCAACGCTGATTTGGTTTGCAGGGAAAGACGCTACGGATGATTTTGAGGATGTGGGTCACAGTACAACGGCAAAAGCCATGCTGGATGAATACTACGTGGGTGACATAGACTCGGCCACGATCACAACCAAGACCACCAAGTATACACCCCCGAAGCAGCCTCAGCATAACCAGGATAAGACCCCGGAATTCATCATTAAGATCCTTCAGTTCCTTGTCCCTCTTCTCATCTTAGGCTTGGCTCTCGGCATTATCTGGACCTGCCAATTTGACATGA